TAAGAAGTAGGTCATCTGTAAATGATACTGGGCAGAGGTGAGAAATAAAATATTGTTGAAGTTTTCAGTTTTAGAAATCCCACACAGAGAAAATATTATGAAAAATAATGAAGAATCTCTCAAGCAACATATTAATTATAATTCTATCAGACAACCCATAACAACGTAACCTTTGTGAATATACCATTAGGTATGCTTTGTTTTCATTCTATTAAAGAGGAATGAGGATTCAAATTTCATAATGTGGTTAAAATTCTATCATTATTCATAACTAACTTAATCCCGTGCCTCTGGTAGCTGCCTCACACAGGCCAAAACCTGTTCCCATAAAACATGGGCTATTCTAGAATAATTGAACTTAATAATTGAACTTAATTGAACTTGCATTTAATTTTGATACAAGGCATTTAAAAATAACCTCTCGCTAATGTTGCTGATTCATACTAACAGCTTAGCATTAGCAGGTACCAGTGTTTTGGCACCAATGCAAATGCATGCTAATTTTCTTTGAGATCTTTCCTAAAAAAAGCAAAAATGGAAGCCAGTGCCAGAATGATTGTCACATAAGTGCAACACCTTACTCATTGTAAAAGAGATGATAAAGAGACTTATTAGCTGATCTCTGGAATTTTAAATAGTACTAAGAAAAGAAGCCTTTGACAATTCTTGTATCCAAACACATTACATTGTAGGCTATTAGACTGCAGGCTGTAATCCTCTTCTGCACCACCAAAATCCTAGCATCTCCCCACAAAAGCTCGGGAGCAGTCCAGTGCCTATGCTCCCATCAGCATCCTCCAGCAGGACCCAGGGGCTCCTGGCTTTGTGCTGCTAGGCAGCTCCACGGCTGCAGCCCTGGACCAGTGGCAGCTGCAGGTCACCCTGCAGGGACACCATTCGCAGCCACTGCAGCGTGAGTCAGCTCAATTATCTTTTCACGTCTGCCTCCATTTTCTTTCTTTCAATGCGCAAATACTTTGAGACACAAAACAAGTCTAGTAGCCAACTAAAATTAACTTCTCCAAACATATGAGCTAAAATGATTCCATTCAATAGCTACTCCAGCTATCATCACAGTCTCAAAATATCTGAAGAATCATATTTGTAGCATGTCCCTTAATCGGCATACCAGGCTACCTGAGATCTTAAGCAAAATTAATTCCTAGGCAGTTATGGCACTCTAATAGCGCCTGAAAAATCTGGTCTTGGCTTCTTGTCTCTTTTCCCTTTCTTTCATTTCAAATTACAGGTTTAGCTCAAGTATCTATGTCCTGACTTGAGGAATTTTGATGAACTGCAGTTTTCTAGTAAATCAGCACAAAACCCATGCTGTTCAGGATTTTATTAGTGACTCCACGAGCTCACATGGCAAGCTACTAGAGGTGTGATGTTATAACTGGTTTTAGGTCTGCTTTGACAAAGGAAATGGGACTATACACCACTTTGTGGAAGTATGGAGCTGTGCACACTGATGACCAAAATTCCCAGATCCAAAAATTCTCCACAAGATATGAGCAGTCCTGAACAGTAACTTTTGAAATGGTAACTGTGAGAAGGGAAGTTGTTACGGTTAATGACAGTATCATAGAGCAGAGACTTTTTAGGAGGCCTGAAAGAGGCAAGCCCACTGCTGCTGCTGATGCAGGTGGCTGCCAAGAGGAAATATAACATGTCTTGCAGTTGGCCAAGATTCCCCTCTGGCTGCAGGCAGGCTGGCAATAAAAAAAGTCTTAGGCACAGGTACGGAAGGACTCAAGTCAACAATTGCTGTCTGCACTGGCTAATGGGAGGCCTCCTGGTACCATTCAGATAGCAAATACATATATATGTTCTTAACCACAGGACAAAGTAAAAAGAAGCCACATTACATAGCTTGAGCAGTATTTATTAGAAAGCTGGAGGTGAACAACTGTTTAAATAAAATGGATTTTATCTAGACAAGGGCTTGAATATGAACCAGTGCAACAGTTTAGTGTGCCCAGATGGAAACTGAGGGATAAAATACGAGTGTACAAGTCTTACAGAAGGGTTCTCAACAGCTTCACCCTCCCCCATCCAAAAACATGGTCTTTTGTGAAGCTGCTTTACGCAGCTGAAACTTTCTTGTTAATTAAGCAAAGATTGGTAGGTACAGCTGCAATTTCAAATGAGCTTTTTCCAAGACTCTCCACTTGTTCTGCATCACTGCCAGATGCACATTTCCTTTTCCAGCTTGTACATTGTTTGCATTTTTTTTGTCCTTTTCATATTACCATAAGATGGAAGTTATCAGTACATGACAAAGAAAACAGAGGCACCACTGGAGTACCCCTTTAAACTCATGTTGCCTGTTGTTGTGGCAACCACTTAATTAGTTGTGTTACTCATTTTTCAACAGCACCTGGCAACATCACTGCTCCAAGGTCTGTTATTATTAAGGAGTCCGCTAACTCAGCTGCTTTACAAGGTAGCAGAAAAGATCTGCTGGCATTTCCATTCTGAATAATTTTCAGGAATCATAAAGAACTCAAATTGCCCAACAGCTGAAGACAATGTGCACAAAAACCACTGTGAGAACCCATCCCCTTGAAAACAGCACAAAAAAAAGTCTTGGGATCTAATCACGCTCCCTGCAATATTAGTACATGCATTGCTATTCACTACACAGGGAGGGGAATCAGACCTTAAATACTTTGAGTGAAAACACACAAATGCTTTGACAGACAATCTCTTGCACATCTCTCCTTAGACATAGTAGGCGTATTGGCATGGGGACAGGATTTGGCCCCATTTCCTCCAAGCTTTCAAGCTTCTGAGAAGCACACAAACATGTACTGAAATTACCATAATTAAACACGATAATCAAATAGGCTCCAGCCAGTCAGCAGTCAGACCCGAAAAAAACAGGAGCTTTCCTCAAGAGTAAACTGTCCCTATATGTGAGCTGTACAGAGACTTCAGATTCAAAGGGCTGGAAAAAAGAAGGTTGTTTAATTACATTCCACAGGCAACCCCATCACCTTGGATGAATACTTCCCTTGGACAAAGGTCACCTAGTTACCTAAATTCCATTTCTGAGTTTAGGACCATAAAGGAATACATACTTACAATAATCTCTTTAGTATCAAAGTTGACCGTTTCAGTGGCTCAACACCCAAAATTTAATATTTGAGTGCTGTAACAGAAATTAAGCATGCTGAAATCTTAGAATGTGGCAACAAAAAAGCCTTCCCTCTGCCAAACAGCAGAGAGGATACAAAGGAGCCTCATGCAGAATTCAACATCAGAGAAAAACAGAAAGAAAATAATTCTTTGATCTGTACAGTGGGATTCTGGCGGTACAAACGCACTTCTCCATAAAATTTAAACAAGAAGTTGGTCAAAATGGATAGCTTTATCCCTCAATATTGCCTTTATTCAAGTTTCAGGCTCCCTTAATGCTCTTTAAAACAGAGATTTTGGCAGTTTATTGTTCAATGATTGAGCAGTAGTGAAAAACACATTCATTTCTGCTTGTCAGAGATGTTGATGAATTCCAGTCACATGCAATTAAGCTGGAATTCAACACAATGATAGATTAAACAGCAAAGTCTAGACAAACAAGGGGGGAAAAAAAAAATCAATCCAAAATGCAATTCCCAGAGAAAAATTCCTAAACAATACTACATTCTTTCTGCTGCAAAAGGGATGCACAATCTTCTTTAAAATATGGAAGTAGAGTATTTGTTTTATTTTAATTCATGCAGTGGTATTAGAACACATCATCTAAAAGAGATAGTAAAAATACTACTCATGCTGTAATATTTTTGCTATAGGAGTAACATAGGATCTTTACGTTTCAAAGTAAAACACATATGTCAAAAATGAGATACATTGCATTTTGCATTTCTTTAACATAAATTCCCTCTCTGTAAAGCAAATCAACAAATGCCACTGAGAAGCTGAATTGGCTTCATGGCATTAAAATGAAATGAAAGACAAGTATTCTAGGCCCCAGTTTATATCCACATAAATAAGAGGCTATATGTCTTTACTTTATGTATTATTTACATAAATCTTCATGCTATGTATTGTTTTATTAGTTATATTGGTTTTCAAATCAGAGGACAAATGATAGAAGTATATAATATTTTCTTAACTCTGGCAGTGCTTTACTCTCTCAAGATACAGGGAGATACAGCAAAAACTGCTTTAACATATGCTGCAAGAAGAAAAAAAAATAGTTACACAAGACTTTTTTGTATATTCAAACCATTGGGTCAATGCTGTCATGCTAACAAGGCGTCAGGGTCTCTGTCAACAATGTATAGCTACTGATCTCAGGAAGTTGATTTAGTAGCATGATACAAAATTTCATAGCCTTTTTACACCACACATGAGAGATGTTCCAGAAGCTGGAATTTCCAACACTCGTCAGTACTAGGCTGTATTGTTTGACAGCACTAAACATGCACAGGGCCACAATGACTCCACCAATGACAGAAACTTCTACTACTTTGAAAAGGTCCACATATATGTTCACATGAGAAACCTGATTAAATTCATCAATACTCATTCAGCAATGCTATTAAAAATAATGAGATCTAAGTAAACTTACCAAACACTTGATTCTCAAGAAACCAGAACAAAGCCAAATTTTTCACTTCACAACTGGTAAATAAATGTTTCACTTTATTGAATGAATCCTCTTAAGGAAGAATGGACTTGAAAAGCAGGCAGCAAAAGAGATTTAGTCTTATTAGCCCTATTTCTGGTTTCCTCATATAAGCCAAAGAAAGTTCCTGAGCGAAGGCAGACTCAGCATAACTCAGTTTCTCATACCAGTAAAGACAACTTTCCAGTTACTGTTTTGTATGTAGTCTACCTACCACAATAAGCTTCCGTCACTGGACTACTATACTGAACAGTTTCTTCATGTAGCACCAATCAAAAAGTGAGTTTTCTTAACTCTAAAAAGGCCCTAAAACTAATGGGCCAAGCAATTTCAGAGTGTAATTTAGCAGTTCTGCTCTTAAACTCACCTCGAACTTCAGGAGAGAATCGAGCTGAATGGCGAGACACAAAAAGTTTCAGTTCTTGATCCAAGTTGCATTCGACCAAGTTTGTGTCCCATGATCGGATTCCTAAAATTCAAAATACAAAACACATCTAGCTTGACACATCAGCACTGGAAGTTTTAACCAAGTATTATTCTATTTGCATTCAAGCTATTTGCATATTTCTAAATTCCAAGCCCAGCCTTCCTTCCTTCCAAGGCACACAGCTGTATTTAAAAATGCCTTTGGAAGGATCCTGACAGGAATCAGAAAAAGACAATCTGCCTTTCCAAAGGGTGACCATTCTTTAAGGCCCCAGCTTAGAATTGCAGTAGGAGACACTTCACAATAAGTTACCAATGTCCCTGACATGATTTTAAAATTGCAATTTAGAGTTTTACAAAAAATGGAAGAGTGAACCACCCAGAGGACACTTCAGTCATGTTGCCCTTTTGAGAAGAAAAAGGCAGCATTACCTAGCATGTTGCTCATTAATATTTAAATACAAAGCATTACATTGCTGACTTATTCATTATGTATCTTTGAAGGTACCATATTTTAAAATAAAATTTAAGTGATCTTTTATTTATGAAGTGTCAGAACTCTAGTTTTGAGATTTGAAAATGCTGTAATTGATCTTTTTTTAAAAAACCAAACCACGCATCTCTGTTCCCTACTGTTTTCCCCTCAGCTACTTAAAAAGTGAGACATGTGACAAAAATATTATTCCAAATTAGATTTTTAAGGACTGAAATTTGACCGGGGGAAAAAAAAAGTCATTGCAGACAAAAGACAAGTTTCTAGTTTTCTTCCATAAGATTTAAAATAAAAGAAAAAAAGATAAAACATACTTCAGATTTTTCTATAATTTTGTTTTGAAATTTTTCTTGAAAATCTTCTGGTTTTTATATAATGAGCAGGCAGTAACACTACAAGTCAGTCCACGCACTGCTGCAGTTTTGAAAATCAAAACTGCACTCATTTTTTTGGTCTTAAAAAGCCATGATTGCATGTACACAAATGAACTGGCAAACATAAAATGGATTGCTGGCGGCCCCTCCCCACATGGCCATGCCTTTGCATGGAATTATTGGGTTAGACCACTTTGGGGTTTGACAACAAGATGCCTGAAGAGGTGTGTGTCCAACCCCTCAGAATGAGTCTAGAATTAACACTTCTGTTAACTCTGTCAGGGTTTCAGGCTGTAGATGTTACTGTCAATGCCACTTCCCATGCTACATGTATTTTCTGTTCCAAGGCAGCAGAAACATCAGAATGTAGACTGGTAGAAGCCATGTTGCAGGGATGAAGCATGAGGAGAAGAGGGAGTAGCAGTGAAACCAGATCTGCAGTGCCAGTCTCTCATTCCAGCTCTGAGTAGGTTCTCCATGCAAATATGAACATCTGCATTTAAAGAGCCTGAAGCCTCTGCAAGAAGAATGCATCCAAGGCTTTTCCTTGTCAGCATCCAAGTAAAGGTAGTAGCAAGCTTACTGCAACATGCTACCAACAATTAAGTAGCTGTCATTTGAATCTCTAGAAAAATTTGAAATTGCCTGTGTGTTCCATAACCACTTGAGAAAAATAACTGAGCTATAACCAGCCACCTCCACTTCCTGACTGACGCATCATTGTTCAGAGGCATAAGCAGCAAGACTCTTCTGCAAGTCTCCTTACTTTGTTTTCTCAGAAAGCTCTTGGCCATATGGTAAATTTTTGGGACAAGATTTGGCAGACAAACACATCTAAAAAGGCTTTAATATCTTCCAGGTGTTGGAATATTTGAGAGCAAGAACACCAAGATGATATAATACCATACACACAGAGCACATATGAAAACAATAACTATGAAACTGACGTTGATCACAAAGCTGAAGTACACTGAATGAATGAGTGCTGAACTTCAAGAAGCTTGAAGATAAACAGCTCCCCTAGCCTGCGACACCAAACTGGGTGGAGAAACTGGGTGGAGAAACTGCAACGGTTTCTGGAGGCCAGCTAAACAACATGGCCTAAGATTCATCAATGCTGCTAATGGCAGGACTCCTCCACCATCCCTAGCTGCCTTAGACGTGATCCTAATTCACTGTATGGATAGAATTCTGATTAGATGTAGTCAAGATCGCTCAATCATCGCCTGATTGAGCCAGGCAATGTCCAAAATGCAGGGCTCAACACAAAATAAACAGGAAAAAAAAGCCGACAAAGCCAAGGGGAAAAAAAGCCTAGATGCTCTATGTACACAGTGGTTCTAGAAGCTGAAGCTGGAATTTAGGTAGACTATCCAAAATTTGTAACTGCATGATTCAGCAATCTGGATGCAAAAATTATGCATGCGTATTATAGCGGAGCAAAATGTATTAAATAAATGATATCACTAAATCAGGTTTTGGGCAGAACAAAGGTAAACGTGGAACTAAAATCCAAGGTCAATCCAATGATGGATTGGCAGTGTGCACGTAACTGCTGTAAACATGGCTGAACTGGAGCTATTTCTTTCTTTCTGCAGTCTTAAGAGTGCAATGCCACTAGACACAGGACTAATCAGACAGCAGGCAGGGCACACCCAGTAGCATCTGCTTCATCAGTGGAAAAATCTTGAAGCTTTCTCTTCACTCTCCTCTTCACTTTTGGTGGACGGTGGGTTGGAGGATTGCCCCCTTAGCAAAGCCACATCCAAAATGTAATTACTGAAAATGCGTCTTGCCACGCCATTCCCTCCCCATGATATATTAAGAAATGACTCTGCATTCCACCAGGTTGCGTAGCATCACGCCACTGATGTGTTATCAGCAGATGTTTTCTTTGACACGTTGCTCTGCAGTTTGGCGCATGAATCCACAGCTTTCAGTGATGGTACTCAGGAGATGTGTACCAGAGAAGACACTGAGGCAGAGTTATCAAGAACCAAAATGCATTTAAAGCTCTATTGAGAATAAAGACAGCAAGAAGTGTTTTTTTCCAGACTACAAGAGACTTTCCAAAGAGAAGAATATTAGGCTGAGCCCATAATTGCCTCACGTAGATAGAGCGTCAGACTCCCACTGTGTTAATCCAGAACAATGCACCTCAAAATTTCACCAAGGAGTTTTCTTAGCAGGCAAAAATCTCAATCAGATGGTCTGACACTAGAAGCAGCAAGGTGACTTCTAATCCAAAATGATGAATTAAAAGGGCAAAACATTCCCTCTGAACACCTAAAACTGTAAGTGGGTGTTATGTTTAGTGGCAGGAGATAGCAGCAATTGAGCTATGCAGCAGTAACTGTACAATAGGAGATTCAAGAAGAGACTGAAGAGCCTTTCTTCAGAGGAAGGGTATTAGCTGTCTTAAGGGAAGAAATTTTACCAATTTGCTTTATAATCTTTGACATTTTAATTAAAATGCAGCCAGTTTTCTTCTAACACAACAAATTAGATAGTTAAGGAAGTGCAATGCTGAAGAAGCTCTGAATGACAAAGCACCTGCCTCAGTAGCTCTCCCCAAGAGACAATGGTAGCAACAAAGATGAACAGGTTATGATGAAACTGGTTAGCTGAGATAAGAATGCCTTTTACCTCAAGCAGTGATGAAAAAGAATTCAGAGAAATAAGCAACCAAAGCAACAACGGTTGAGAAATCAACAATAGAGACAGACGAAGTCCTAGCTGGTCTGCTGAACCACACCTACATGACAAGGCTGCTACCAATTCCCCATTCCAGGATCTCTTCTCCACTTAACAATGGCAGTTCCTGAAATCTTTGTTTTCACCAGCCCAGAACAAAAAATACATGTTATAAAATCAGGTATCAACTGAGTTTAACTAATTGTAAGGTCCGACAAGAATTTTTCTTCATGCTTTATTCCACTAATACCGCAACAGCTTGGCTTTTTTTCTTTTTTTTCCCCCCTCTCCGCATATACACTGCAATCTATTGTATCAGAAATCACAACGAAAACTTATAAAACTGTCATTTCACTTGCAATACCAGCCTGCATCGCCGTCTTAAGAAAAGAACAAATAAACGCCGAGTCAGAGCAGCCCGCAGTCGGACAATAACGAGGGCGAGCACTCGGCTAACAGCCTTGTTACTCGTATGGGTTTTCTTTATTGGAACATATATACACGTATATAGAACTTGAGTCCTGAAAATTGTCCAGACGACAGAGAAGTCCCAGCGCCCAAAGTTAGACACAAAGGCGCGGCTGCGCTCCCGCCCGCGCAGCCTCTGCCGCCCGGAGGGAAAACGCCCCGAGCCCCGCCGGCTTGGCGCGGCGGTGGGGACGGGGGACTGCAGGCGGCAGCCGCCCCGCAGCCCCAGCCCAGCCCATCCACCCCATCGCCAGCCGCCCTTTGTCCGCCCCGGGCTGCCATCGGGACCGCAGTGCGGACCGTGCCACGCCCACCCGCCGGTGTCTCCGGGCAGACGGGCTCGGCGGCGGGCGCTGCGCTCCCGGCGCGGCCCCTCCGCCCAGCCATGGCGGGGAGGGGGCTCGCTGCGGCTCTCCGCAGCCCCGCTCCGCAGCGCCCGCACCCCGCGGGGGAAGGTCAGCGGGCGGGCGATTGCGGCGGGACCCCCCGGGGAATAGAGAGCCGAAGACCGCGGCTCGGCGGGATGGGTGTGGGGGGCAATCCCGGCTCCCAGCCGCGCCCAGGAGGGGCAGGGCGCCGGCGGGGGGTGTCGCGGCGCTGCTTGCGGCGCCCCGGCTCCCGCCGCCTCACCTCGCTCGATATTGGCGATGGCCCGCCGCAGGTGCTCCTCAGTCACCAGCTCGCCGATGACCACCAGCAGGTAAAACTTGCTGTCTAGGAAGCGGTGGGAGAGACTGGGCGAAGTGGAGGTCGGGTTGGGGATGCTGCAGGAGGGCTCCGAATCCACTTCCACCACTACGGTGGCCATCGCCTCCGCCCCGCGGCTCCGGGGCGCTGAGCGCAGAGGGGCCGCTCGGCGACGGCTCCGCAGGCGGCAGGGAGGGAGTGAGGGCGGGTGGGGAGGCGGCGGCGCTTTTATACGGAGACGGTGCAGGGCAGGGACCTGGTGAGGAGGAGGAGGAGGAAGGGGGGGAGCCGGCGCATCCTCCGCGCCGCCGCCGCCTTTCCAGCATCCACAGCTGATGTCATCTGCGGCAAATCCTCCCCGCGGCGGCCCCCGGAAGCAGGAAGGACGCGGGGGGCGAACAACGCCCCGAGGGGACGCCGAGGAGCGCGCCCCGCGCCTGGCTCCCGACCCGGCCGGGGACCCCCGCGCCCCTCGCGTCCCTTGTGCCCCGTGCCCGTGCGGGGCGTCACACTGCCGGCCGGTCACCCCGGGGCCCGTCACGGGTCCCAGCCGTGAAACGGGGCCATGAGGAGCCGCAGGTGACGATGGCCTGGCAGACATGGGGAGCTCATGTGGGAAAGCCGGCATCGGGGCTCTAGCAGCACTCCAGACGCGGATCAAGAAGCAGTGACACTGCCCAAAGTCAGTTGTCCTCTCCTACATCTTGCTGTAGCACTGCAGCAAAATTTGAGTCATACTTAAACGCACACCCTCACCCAGCAATATAAATATTCTTGCTAATTTTTTAAATTTTAAAGCAGTTCATCTAATAAGATGTAACTTCACACATAGCCTTTCTGCACATATTCAATCCCCATGGATTTACAACACCAGAAAAATACTGGTTTTGGACAACATGCTGAAACCCATGTTCTTAGCTTATTCAAAGCTGAAGTTCAAAGGGCTTTGGTAAGTAATGTTGACCAGGCTCAAGCAACTGCAGGGAGCAATCACAGCAGAAAACTTATGCAATGAACCAAAGGTTTAATTTCTCTTGTCATAGATGTTAGTATCTATACCCCGATACTCAGTGATAACCACCTCTGGAAAGTGTATTACTCTCTCCTAATGTGCAATAGAGAAGTTAAATATGTGTGAGATGTTCTTCTCACTTTACTGACATAAGCAAGCTACTCGTTTCCACTAAGCTTCTTGTTTATATGGCTCAAGTGATGTGGGATAAATTTCAAAGTGACATAGGAAAAGATATGAACTTTTACAGCTTGGTTTTTGAGATAATCTCTTGTCCCTGACTGAGAAGAGATTTCCTCTGTCTGCAGCTTCTTACAGTGCTGGGTGTGCAAATTCTGTGCTTACTGCTAAGGAACAGAGTGCTTGCCTGGATGAACCAATGCATAAGCCTTGTCTTCTTTGTATTTTGTTCCAAGGCACAGTGGACTAATTCGCAGGCATTTCAGCTTGTCACTACTAAGTATTTTTTGTCTTATTAGCCTAGAGGCTACAGTTTAAACTCACAAAGGTTAGAACAGGATCATTATAAGTGCCGATCCGTAGTGTTGTATCTGTCTATAGCACCCAGTGGTTTTGATATGAATAGTTCCTCTTCATAAATACAGCACTTAGATTTTTGGCCTACGTAGTGTGTTGTGTTTGGATGTTGCATCCAAAGCAGACATTTTCTGAACTGCCGTTATTCTGAAGGTTATAGAGTGTAGGCAAGAGTTTTCACATCCATGTCGGGTGGCTGAGATGACACAGAGGTAAAGGGCAGCAGTGCTCATGCTTCACTAGAGCTGACACTGCTGAGAGAACAAACACAATAGCATGATGCAGAAGAACTAGCAGCAGTTTTAAGGTTTGCAAAGTATTCAAAGGTGCAGTGTGTTGCTTTTTGGATTCTCCTGTTAATCTGGGCCCCACTTTGCTGTTTCCTTGCTAATCCTGTCAGTTTCCAAGGGATAAAGAAGGTGCCTACTTAGAAGTAATGTCCGTCCCCTGTGGCCTTTTTCTATATGATCCTCTTCCTAATAATTTATTATATGATTACAGATACCTTCAAGACTTGCCACGTGGTGCCCACTGGAGAAAGCCAGCTTCAGGCTTCCATCATTGCAATCTATAGTTTTGGATATGCCTTTATCTCAATCATAATAAGAGCAGCTAGTCTTTCAAGCATGGAAGGCACTTGTCAAGGGGACTTGCCAACTGTTTGCAGAATAGACAGATACTGGTTCCTGGACATAAAGGTAAAACAATTACTTGCCTCACAAGCACAGCAGATTAAATGTGATAGTCAGAGACATGCACACCAGTACTCAAAAATCACTCTATGTGCTTTTAAGCACTTCTTAGTTTAAGGAAAAGTGGAAACATCCATAGTTGAAAAGATGCCTATGAATTTGAAAAGTAAGAGCTGAAAAGAATGCATTTTATCAGAGAATAAAATGCTTACATACAGGTAAGTAATACAATTTCATTTGAAATAGCCTGCTCAGGTAGTCCTCTGTTTTATACTGCACTGTAAAACAGCATGCAGTTAGAACATGGTATGATAAAAGATTAGCGGTTACAGTCAAAATGTCTTGTGATGGGAGATGTGTCACACATTAAAACCCTAAGGACAAGAGGTTTTCTTTGGAAAAAAATGGTTTTGTGCTAAACTCTTCAAAGGATGCAGACCTCTGGCCTTGTCTATTCACAAGCATCATCTGAGATGGAAGGTAGACAAGAAAGGTGCTTTATCCTCCTGAACATACCACTGAGGAAGCTGCAGGGTCTTAGCTCTATAGCCACTGTTCACACTGTGACTTGCTCTGTCAGTATCTCAGTCAGGTAGATTTTTCATCATCTTTCCCTATCTGGAAACTAATTTATATTCTGCAATATGGAGCATCAGGTCTACTACTGAGTAAAATGTGGAGATATGCTGCATAAAACTGACTTAATGTCCTAAGACCCTCACTGTTTGAGAGTGATACCACCTGCCTGTCTGCAGCTTTATCACATAGATATGCCTCTTCAGTAGAAGAAACAGCAACATTCATGGACTATGGAATTACTGTTGGACTGTGGAATTACTTACTGTTTCAAAGCGACAGTGATTGAGACCCACACCCATCTGGCTTTTGATTGTTTTGGTTTGACTTTGTAGTTTTATTATGTTCAGTTTGAGCCCCACAGTTTAATATGGTCAAATACTATATGTAGAGCTGTATTTGTTAGGTATTGTATTTTATAAAGAGGCAGTTTAAATAAAGTGCTTGACGTTTAAAACATGTTTCTTGATAGTACATGCTGTTTGTTATCTACTAATATTCAAGCTTCATTCAAGTCCAAACTACAAATTTTAAGTGAAGTTTCAGTGATGTACAAGCCTTTAGGTTGGCCCTTTGTCTCAAGTCAAGTGTTATCCCTAGCATTAAAGAAATACCTATCCATGTGGATTGCTTCAGATTGCACTTACCTCGAGTACTGGGGGCGGTTCTGGGTGCTACAATAAAAGAGAGATATAAAACTATTGGAGGATGCCCAGAGGAGAGCAATGAGGATGCTGAAGGGCCTTGAGGGGAAGCTGTATGAGGAGAGGCTGAGGTCACTTGGTCTGTTCAGCCTGGAGGAGACCGAGAGGAAACCTCACTGCAGACTACATCCTCTCCTTGTGAGGGGAAGAGGAGGGGCAGGCACTGATCTCTTCTCTGTGGTGATAGTGACAGAACCTGAGGGAAGGGACTGAATTTATGTCAGGGAAGGTTTAGGTTGGACATCAGGAAAAGGTTCTTCACCCAGAGGGTGGCTGAGCATTGGAAGAGGCTCCCAAGGGAAGCAGTGACAGCACCAAGCCTGACAGAGTTCAAGATGCATTTGGACAATGCTCTCAGGCATATGGTGTGATTCTTGGGGTGTCCTGTGCAGGGCCAAGATTTGAATTTCAATGATCCCCTTGAATCCCTTCAAACTCAGGATATGCTGTGATTTTTTAAATTAAAACTTTACTGAAACTAAAGTGTCTCAGAAGGCTGTCTTCATTCAGAGAAATGCCATTCTGAGGATTGCACAACATGTCATGAAGAGCATTCCTCAGGTGGGTAGCATTTCTTAAGGAGAGGCAGGAAGGCCTAAGTTCTAGAATGGAGATTTGCCAGCCTAGACCTGAGATCACAGATTCACAGAATGACTGGTTGGAAGGAGCCTCTGAAAGTAATTTTGTCTAATTCCCCTTCTCAGGCAGAGCCACCTAGAGTAGGTTTCTGAGAGCTGTGTTCAGCGGGGTTTGAGTATCTCCATGGATAGAGAGCACTGCCATTCTGATGCATATGGAGTCAAGAATGCACAACCAGTACTATAGCAGATAATACCTATAACATTTTCTACCATACCTGATGCCTTCTCAATGTGACCATCATTCTCAATACCCCCACTCCCTCTCACCCCCCATTTCCTGCAATCAGAAGCTCTACCATCCCCATGTGGTCCAGCCTTTACCTCCCAGAGTCTCCTCAGTGCATTGTTCCTTTGGGGCAGCTTGCAGAGCATGCAGCAGCAGCAGCACAGGTGCAGAGGGACAGTCAGCATGTCACCCTGACCCCTGCAGAGCAGAAGTGCCACCCTGCAGCTGCTGTACGTGGTGTGATTAGTAATGAGCCCTTCCCTGCCAGCACTCAGGTGTGTGGTTCATGAAGACAACTCCTCCTGCCTTCACCCACTTTTTAGGCAAAGAAGCATCTTCATCTCTAACATCCTCGGGCTGGCACTGCCAGAGGAGCTCCTCCTGCAGCAGTGAAATGGCAATAGCCAGAGTCACCAGAGAGAACTGTACCAGCATGAGCAGACAGAGACTTGGACTTCGTGAGAGACTCTGGGGAAATACTTTACATTTTACGATGGCAGTCTTCATCTTTAACTACAGGGAAAATAAAAATTATTTGACCAACATTCATTTCAGGTATTTTAAATCTATTACTTCAGTTTTAATGATTACTTTTTAAATTGCAAAGGAGATAAAGCTTTTATTTGCTTATGGTGAAATATCCACTTCAATTGGTATTTCATCTGTTTCTCACTCCTTCCACTTTCTCCACAGAAAGAAGTTAAATTTAACAACAACAACAACAAAAAGTGAAGAAAACAACACTATT